ACCAGCCAGGCAGAGATGCTGGAGGTCGTCGGCAAGGATGCCCAGGATGCCTTCCCTGTGATCTTGGGCCAAGCCTCCGAGTGCTTGCAGCTGGTCTTTGGTATGGATGTGAAGGAAGTGGACCCCAGCGACCACTCCTACATCCTGGTCCCCGTCCTGGGCCTCACCTATGATGGGATGCTGAGCGGTGAGGAGGGAGTGCCCAAGACCGGCCTCCTGGTGGTGCTCCTGGGGGTGATCCTCCTGCATGGCAACCGTGCCCCCGAGGAGGAGGTGTGGGAAACGCTGGGGGTCATGGGGGTGTATGCCGGCCAGGAGCACGTCCTCTATGGGGAGCCCAGGGAGCTCCTCACCAAGGTCTGGGTGCAGGAAGGGTACGTGGAGTACCGGCAGGTGCCCGGCAGTGACCCTGCCCGCTACGAGTTCCTGTGGGGTCCCAGGGCCCGCGCCGAAACCAGCAAGTTGCAAATGATGGAGTATTTGCTCCGGGTCAGGCGCAGGCAGCCGGCTTCCTCCCTGGCCCTGTCTTTGGGGCTGTGAGAGATGAGGGAGAGGGGGCCTGAGCCCCGGGGGCAGCTTCGCTGGGGTCGGCAGCTTTACTACAGGGTGCTGGGCGTGAAGCGAGGCCGCTTGTTGGTTCTTCCCTGGGTGTGTGTGTGTGTGTGCGCGCGCGCGCGTGTCAAGTCAGAGCCCTGGGCGTTTTAAGGAGTGCTGGGCCAGGGAGGGTTGGGAGAAGAAAGCAGGGCCAGGAGCCTCCTGGGCGTGGGGGGGCTGTTCCCTGGGATGACTCCCACATCCAGAGCTTGGTGTCCTTGTGGAAGCTCTCCTGTGGGGTTCCTTGCCATAGAAGGTTTCATCCGCTTCAGGGTCTGATTGTGTGAGTACCATCCACTCCGCAGCATTTGTCCTTACCCAGTTCAAGAGTTAAGAGTTTTATCATGTTCTCGGGGCGCCTGGGTCCTCTGTTGTTTAAGCATCTGCCATTGGCTCAGGTCATGATCTCAGGATCCTGGGATCGAACCCCACATGGGGCTCCTCGCTCAGTGGAGACTCTGCTTCTTTCTCTCCGTGTGTGCTTTTCTTTCTCAAATAAATAAATAAGTACTTAAAAAAAAAAAGTTTTTTTCATGTCCTGGACACCAGCCTGGACACCTTGCCTACTTGTTTGGGCTCTGGACCGAAATCACAGGGCTTTGGCCTAGGGATGGGTTTAGAAAGGTACAAGAACGGAAGAAGCAAGGGACGGGGGTCAGAATCTGGAGAGATAGAAGTTTGTTGGTTTTTGCTTCTGATGCCTTCCCGACCATCATTGTGCAAATGCCAAAGGCAAGCATGCGCACACACCCGCTCCTGCGCTGGCCTGGTTCTTCCAGAGTGGAGGGGAAACTTCCTCCCAGCAGAGAGGGAGCCCTGTTCACTGGCTCCTTGATTCCCACACATGGGCTGAGCTCTGCTCTCCGGAAGGCCCTGTGCGGGAGCAGTGAGGACACTAGTAGAAGCAGGACACGTCCCAGCCATAGGGGACTGAGTCTAGCGGCCACAGTCCTGGCAGGAAGGTGGGGAGGGTTGCCCTGGGACCTGCAGAAGAGGTGGAGGCAGGGTGAGCGGGGGTGGCTCCCGGGGCAAGCACTGCAGTGGAAATGGCCCCGGCCCAGCCCGTGGTGGGGGCGGGAGGCTGGGGTGACCAGAGGGTCCCTGGGATTGCTTCTGTGCAGCTGGTTCCCGGGAAGCGGATCTGCGACTCTGGCCCTGTTTGGAGATGGGGTGCCTTTCGGTGGGGAGCAATTTCTGAAATGCATAAATGCTCTGAGCGGTTTGCTTTGGATTCTGGAGAAGGCCGAGTACTCTCCTGTGGCAAGAAGGGTCAGTGTGTTGGGCCCTTATCACATGCCATTTGAACACAGTGAAGATTTAGTGGCTTTATTCCTGTCATCTCCAGTGGTTCTGTGAACGACTGTCCCTTTGCACGAGGGAATGCAGAGGTCACGGACAGCCCCGTTCTCCCTGGACTGGGGGAATCCCCACTGTCTCCTAGGCCATGAGAATTTATTTGGGTCTCCCGACGTCCCCATGGCCCGTCCTAAACAGTGGC